CAAGGAGGCCACCTGCAACTTTGAAGATGGTCCTCACCAGAACCTGACCGTGCTGGCACCCTGATCCTGGACTTCTGGTCTCCAGAATTTTGAGAAATAAACTTCTCTTGTTTATTAGCCACTCAGTTTATGGTACTTTGTTATAGCAGCCTGAACTAAGGTAATAGCTAACAAATATAGAAGTATGAAAAATTTAAAAATTCAAAAAGGGTTTTATTTCTATTCTCAACTCCTCTAATGAATTATTGATCCAAATTGCTAATTTCATTAAATGTGTCACCTAATATGTTCTAAGTATCAATAAAGGTCTTTTTTTTCCTTCCCTGAGTTTATGTTCCTAAAGAAACACAACGACTTGACAGCCATAATAAACAGTCTTCTCAATTTTTTTTCTACTTCTTCTAATTAGTTTGTATTTTGAAAAAGAAAAGCCCATATGTTTAAATCTGCAAAGGAGAGCAAAAGATTGCTTTTTAAATAAACTAATTAGACAGAATTATTTTACTATCTTTATGTTTGATATTGATGAAGCTAGGAAGGAGGAATATTTTTAATCCTAATTTTTACTTTATGATGTGCTAATTATCTTACCTTTTTAAAGTTTCTAACCAGTTAAGAAGATCCCCATTTAATAAATTATCTTATAATCTAGCTACCATTTATATTAGATTTCCCTTAAAATTATGTTGATCCCAATTTCATTTTTTTTTTTAGTCATCATATATGGCTTCAATGTGTTCATTAAAATTTGTTAGCCACCTGAACAGAAACATTTCTTGCCTGCAAAACAAAACAAAACTTATGTCAAAGGTATCACTGTCATCATTTTTGGGACTAGGAGAATCAGTGATGATGGGTTTTCTTCCAGAGATGGGAGGTTGCATATCTCGCTATTCTCTCTAAAGTAGATTCTTTTTTTTTAAAAAAATATATTTTATTGATTTTTTACAGAGAGGAAGGGAGAGGGATAGAGAGTTAGAAACATCGATGAGAGAGAAACATCGATCAGCTGCCTCCTGCACACCCCCTAACTGGGGATGTGCCCGCAACTAAGGTACATGCCCTTGACCGGAATAGAACCTGGGACCCTTGAGTCCGCAGGCCAACGCTCTATCCACTGAGCCAAACCGGCTAGGGTTAAAGTAGATTCTTTATGTGGTTTGTTAAGTGGTATGCCTAGTATGCCACCTAATCAATAGATCTGAGTCTTAATATTTAAACATTTTCTCTCAATTTTTTTTTTATTACCAGTGAGGGGAATAGGTCAAACTCTGGTCATTTACCTAGGTACTAGTTTGTGCTGAGAACATTGCTCAGGGCACAGCTTTCAAAAAGGAACTGTTAATTTGAGCTGTAGCAGAAAAATATATGAAAATGGAACATTGTGTAGTGGGTGAGCACTTGAACAGCAGCAAGGGACTTGGATTCTTGTTGGTTCCGTCACTAACAAGCCATGTTATTGTGGGCAAGTCCCTTTTCTCATCTGTAAAAGGAAGGAGCTGTAGTCCTAAAGTTCTTTGCATTGTGTTATCTCCCCACAAAAAACATAAGATCTACCAAAGTAGCACTGTCTGCCTTGTCTGCCTAGGACTGAGTCTGAGAACAGTTCCTGGTACCTTGCTCATGCTCAGGAGATACTCACTGATACTGAAAAATCTATGCTGCACATTGGTCATTAAAAAAGTTTTTTTTCCCATGTACTAGTATAGTCTTCGCTATTTTTTAAAGATCTTTCACACAACAGGCACTCAACTCTCACTGTTTTGATTTTCAGGGGAAGGCACACCTTACTTGTTAATATAGAAATGCAGGCATGGAGAAGCTTCCTGGAGTGGGAAAAGTGTTGTCTATGTATTGGAAAACCTGGTCCACTTACTACTGTGTGATTTGGGGCAAGCCATTGCATTCCTCCCTACCTGCAAGGTCAGAGGGCTGAACTGGATCCTTAGGATCCTTCTGGCAGCACACCTCTGACTCTGGTCCTGTTCTGTTAAGGACAGATGAGTCCATGGGGAAGGATGTGAGGCTGCAGAGGCATTGGTTCATTAGAAACATCAAGACAGGCAGACTCTCTTTTTATGGGCACCATCTAAAATCCTTTATGAGCATCAACTATGGTGACTCTTTCTTTGCTGTTATTGGTTCAACAAAGCAGGTCACTGGCCTCAACCACATCTCATACTCACTGTCCTGGGGTGCAGACACCATGAGAGAAAGCCTGCCAGCTTGCAAGTCCATGAAATGTTTGCATTATTTAAAATGTGCAACTGCGCCCTAGTCGGTTTGGCTCAATGGATAGAGCATCGGCCTGTGGACTAAAGGGGCCTGGATTCAATTCAGTTCAAGAGCACGTATCTTGGTTACAGGTTCAATCCCTGTCGGGGCATGTGCAGGAGGCAACCAATTGATGTGTCTCTCTCGCACCAATCTTTTTCTGTTTCTCATTCTCCCTTCCACACTTTCTAAAAAAAATAAAAATAAAAAAATAAAAAAAATGTGCAATTGTAGGGATCCTGAGGATTCTGCTGACTTTTTTTTTTTATCATCACAAATGCTAGGTCACTCTATGTAGGAGCCTTTTTTAAAAAGTGACTATAAAAACATTCCAATAGTGATTCTATCATATTAGCATGACCCTAATTTATTCAGACCAAGGTCTTTCGGTCCCATTAGTAAGAGCCAATTTGTTCAAGCATTGCTATGGAAGGGAAACTTTCAGTTTGAGGAATGAAGAGAGAGACACATGGTCAGGTAGGGTGGCCAGCAAGACTATAATTATGCTTGAAAAGGCAGTCTTCTGAAGAAGGATCCAGAGGGATGGAGAGGACCAGGAAGCAGAGATGGAAGGATGAGCTTGTGGGATCTATGGGCTCTCCAGTGGCCCAGCAGGGCTACATTAGGGTGGTTTTCTGGGTTTTTACTTCCTGTGGACTTTATAATTCTGCATTTTGCAGGGGGCGTGGTTTAGCCTGTGGGGTGGAATACTCTTGTGTAGGATTAACAGTCTGTATCCATATACATAAAAGCCTAAGCGACTGCCCGACCATTCAACGGGTACCTATGACGCGCAATGACCATCGGGGGCAGAAGCTCAACACAGGAGCTGCCGAGCTGTGGTGACTTGGCCGGAATCAGAGAGGAGGGAGCCCGATTCTGGGGTGTGTCACCCGAGAACTGCCCTCTCTCAATCCGGGACCCCTCGGGGAGCTGGTTCTGGCCCGATTCCCACAGGCCAGGCTGAGGGAATCCACCAGTGCACCAATCTGTGCACCGGGACTCTAGTCAGAATACATTGTTGATGGCAGTGGCCATGGGCCCAATTTCAATTTTTAAAATATGCAAAGAATGGAAAGATATAACTCAAAATGTTGGCAGTCAGTTACTTTCTCTGATTATGAGTTTTTCCATTATTTTTCTTTTTGTGTTTTGAATTTTCAACAAAGAACTTGTATTAGTCTTATATAGTCAGGGAAAATTCTTATATTAACACCATTGTTTATTTTAGGTAATAAAAGAATATATAACTTGTTATAAAAATATTTTTATAAAAGTGTGATGTTACAAATTAATAAAATATATCAATTCAATTTCTAGAAAATAAAGCTTAAAGATATCAACTGTCTCAAAAGATAGAGAGGTTTTCCTATACAAGCACTCACTCTACTGGTGACTTAGAGAATATACTTACTCTGACATTTCTGAAATAATTGAATTATTTTCCACAAGCACTAGAGGGCAGGATTTTTATTATGAAACTCAATTTCACCAATCATCACTACATTACATGCTTTTTTTTCTTGTGTATGGTTTCTGTTAATATGTGATAAACTATCACTATGTTTATTACATGCTGTTTTTGGACTGTGCTTCTAGTCACATGGTAACTTTAACTTAGAGGTCGACTCTCATGAGATATTTAATAGCTTTTTTATAATATAAAATTAATTTATCCCTACTTATAGGGTGGGCTAGAGCTGGCAGTAACAGCAACAGCAACAACTATAATGCTCTGATAACAGTATCTTTAACATAATTTATTTTCTATTCTTTATCCTTCACCCTTCCCCTACCCCAACACTGCAATTTGTAGGATAAAGTAGAGGTCTTAGATGCACTTACTTGGAAATTTATACTTAAAACCTGAGCTTTTCTGGTATAAATAAAGTAGATTAGAAAACACTGCCTACTGAATTTTCTGAAACTCTTTAAAACACAAAATAGAGACCATTATGAAATGGATCTAATCTGGTCTAGACATATAAATTGAGTGTCATGCTCTGGCTGGTGTCTTCAGTGGTTAGAGCATTGGCCCAAACACCAAAGGGTCACAGGTTCAATTCCCACATACCTGGGTTGAGGGTTCGCTCCCTGCCCTGTCTCCCCCCTGCCCTCTCCCCATAGGAGTGGGTGCAGGAGGCAACCAGTCAATGTGTCTCTCACATTGATGGATGTCTGTATCTCTTTCTCCCTCTCCCTCCTCCCTTCCACTCTCTCTGAAAAGCAATGGAAAAAACATACTCTGGTGAGGATTAGCAACAACAGCAAAAAAATTAAATTGGGTGCCATAAATGCTTGCTTATTGTTACACAAGTTTAAATATGAGGAAAAGTCCAATCCAATTAAGTTGTTATGTCTGACCATTTATACCTAAATTTAATAACATTGCTGATATTAATTTAGCCTTCATTCATGAAGTGTTTTAAATAAAATGCCATTCTCGAAAGACAAATAGCTTTCTAAGTTTCTTCCTAGTTCATTTCTTGAATTTCATTTTTTAAAAAAACCATTGCATTGTCTACATATGGAGTTAAACACTCCTCTCCATTTATCTAAAGGTTGAGCCAAGCTAAAACCTTTGTGTCATTGTATTTTATAGGTCAAAGACTAGGACCTGAACATATTACCTCCCAAATAAGCAGCCTCTTGCTTTTATTTGCTTTAGTATTTTCATGAGAGTTGTAATGGGTTAAAAAGAAACTAGAAGAAACACATATACTTACTTGAACCTGGCAGGTGAAAGAGGAGTAGGAGGAAACATTCCTGGCTCAAAAGAGTCAAAGTAAGTCACTGTCCAAGAAAAGCTGCAGCAGGAGAACCCAGCAGTTAGGGATATTATAAGTAGAGTCCAGAATCCTTAATGGGAAGAGAGAAGGGGAAAGCTTGAATTATTAACACCCAAACAATTAAAATTAAACCAGCACCCTCACATTCAGATAATATGCATTTCTGATCTTTTGATTTATATATGTAAGTGATATAAGAGATTTGAGTTTAGTACAAGTTAACCCATGTAGAAGTATAAAACTAGAAGTCATATCATTTAATATTTAATTCAATTATACTTTAATATTTGGAAAAGAGTACAAATTCAACTGAAGAGTATAACTTATCTTCAGTTTTATAAAAGTCAACTATAGAAAAAAATGGTTAAAACACTTTACTGTTAACATTTTTTCATTTAACTTTGTAAATCACAACTTGCTGTCTTTCACTTTAGCACTAAGTGATTTCTTTCCATACCAATGCACCTTTGACATATGAATCAATTTTTGAGTGTCTACTCTTTACAGTTTTCCTATGAACACCATAAATTTAATCGGATTTTTTTACCTTGCTCAGTATATGGACATAAGTTAACTCCCAATTTATAAATGCGTTGGGATCCTAAATTTTATTTTCAGTTAGATTAGACCTACATTTTCTCAAATCAAGTAGAAACCATGGCGACTATACTGGGGGAATGAAAAGGGCAAAGGGAAGAGAATTAGAAGAGGAGGGGGAATAAACACAGGGAAAACAGAATGAATTGATTTGAAGGTTTTTAGGTTAGTTCACGTTGCCTCCCTCAGAGAGTTTACAAAGCCACAACTACTGGTAAGTGTGTGTTCCAGGCCTCAGTAGTACAACGGAGAAGGAAAGGTTGAGAAGATTGCAATAGAGAATTACCAAATTTCCTGGCTACACAAAATTGCACAACCAAAGATGGCTTTATTTTTTAGCAAGAAGCAGGTAAGAAATATGTACTATGGACTGCTTGTAAACTATATGAAGCCCAATAACAGAGTGGTAAAACTGCTGAAAGAAAAACTCAGGGCAATAAAGCATCAGGAGAAACTGTGGCAAAGTACTTTTGAAAGATTAATTTTTCTCTTATAGTTAGCTCCCTTTCCCTTACCCCCTTTTAAAGATAACAGACTTTGTGTTCACTGCCCCAGGAGGAGGATGTGGCAAAAAGGGAGAACTAGCCCGAGTGTCTCTTTAGTTGTGTTGCAATTAAGGGAACTAGGAGGGTAAGTATAAGCAGTAAACACAAAACGTCTCTTGCCCTGACCGGCTTGGCTCAGTGGATACAGCGTCGGCCTGCAGATCGAAGGGTCACGGGGTTCGATTCCGGTCAAGGGCATGTACCTTGGTTGTGGGCATATCCCCAGTGGGGGAGTGTGCAGGAGGCAGCTGATCGATGATCCTCTCTCATTATGTTTCTGACTCTCTATCCCTCTCCCTTCCTTGCTGTGAAAAATCAATAAAATATATTAAAAACAAAAAAAAACACACAAAATGTCTCCAAAAGTAAGTTGACTAGGGTATATTTGTATAGAACAGGGAGAGAGTAGGGCTTTATCTATAGGTGATAGATTCCCCCATTTGAAGAACGTGGGTTATGTGTGGTGTTTGCACTTGTGGGTGTATAACAGGGAGGGGTAGTGCTACGGGGGCTTCCTAGTACTTATCAAGAAAAGGCCACACAACATCAGAAAGGGATTATAGCTACCGTACCTTGACAGATGGGCCCATAGCTAAACTTGCTGGTGCCTCTGCCCTGAGTGTGTCACAAAAACAGTAGATTGTCACTTGGCTGGAAGATGCTACATCTGAAAGGCCATCCTGACTGGAATGCAAGATGTTTCAGCAGTAACTCATTTGGGCAAATGTTTTGAGGACTACAAAGTACTCCCATTCCAGTATCCTGGAACAGTGTCAGGTAGAACCATAACTTAACCTAAGACTGGCTAAACAGAACTTCTACAGTAAAGACTTGAGGTACAACCTTCCTGCCAACCAGTAAGACAGGAGACAGAAGTAGAAATTATAAGATTACTTAGTATACAACTACAACTAAAGGGTGACTACACTGCCAGATAGCTGTTTTGATATTATTATATTATTTAGATGAATATCCACCTCTAAAGGGGAGAAAATAAATGACATGGTTTACTCTAAGTTTTGCATCTTATAATACATAAAAGTCTGTTGAACAAAGATAGTAATTAAGAAAAATCAAGTATCTGTTTAGGGACTGCTACTGAATGATGGGGAATTCTAATATCTAAAAAAGTAGGAAAGACAAAATAACATTAAAACAAAATGTGAGGCTCTCTAAAGCCCATCAAGCTGTTTCACTCAGGTGCTTCAATAGAATAACTATCAAATTTAATATAAGAATAATCTTGAGAACCCAACAAACTGCAGATTTCAACTCCTCGCACCCATAAGGGACACACTCAAGAAGCAGAATCAGGTTCGGAGGAAGCCGGAACCGGACCCAGCTGGGCCGGCAACATCGAACCGCTGTACCAGCAAACACACAAACAGGTCCACCAGATCCAAGCTCACATGGGACGCTGGGAGACGGCAGACAAGCAGTCTGTGCACTTAGTAGAAAACGAAATCCAAGCAAGTATACCAGATATTCAGCCAGCAAGAACGCCTGGAGATTTTGTCCAGCAAGGAGCCGCCCAACAAAAGACAGAATACCAAACTTCGTGTTGACCAGTTAAAGTATGATGTCAGCACCTGCAGACTGCTCTCAGAAACTTCCAACATCAGCGATACGCAAGGGAGCAGCAGGAGAGATAGCGAGAGGAGCTTCTGTCTCGCACCTTCACCCCCAATGTGGGATGCGGCGCCCCCTGCGAGGCTGCGGCGGCCCCTGCGAGGCTCAGACGGCCCCTGCGAGGCTGAGACAGTCCCGGTGAGGCTGAGACGGTCCCTGTGTGGCCGAACACAGGGACATGTCGCGGATGGAAATAGCTACATTTTTCATGTGTATGACCTGGCAACAAAAAGCGTACACCTATGGATGAGGACAGTGGGGGGGTAAGGGCAGAGGGTGGGGTGGGAACTGGGTGGAGGGGAGCTATGGGGGAAAAAAGGGGGAACAACTGTAATAATCTGAACAATAAAGATTTATTTAAAAAAGAAAAAAGAAAAGAATAATCTTGAGTTTTCAGACATGACTACTATTTCATGATCTAAGTTGTTGCCCCACTTTGGGCATTTTAATAATTTTATATTCATTTTGAACTAATCAATTGCTGTATCACTAATAAAAGTCAGATCACAACGAAAAGGCTAAAACAGCACATTGTACTATCCTGGCTTAGAATTGCTGTTTCTGAAAATTACTCAATTCATTTATAAACAAGCAGAAAAACCATAGGTTGGCAACTCCCAACAACTAAATTTGCAACAAGTCCCCATCTCAAGTCCTGAAGCTAAAAATTTGACAGTGTTTTGTAAACCCATTTTACCAAGATTTGACATAATTTTAAAAGGTATAAAGGCATCTAAAAATTTACAGTCTTCCTTCCCCAATTCACTAATTCTACTCCTAAAATCAATCAGCTAAGAGTCTGCTGTGCATATTTTCTAAAAAGTACAGCCATCTAGGTAACGTAGGTAGATATATGGAGCTCGTTATGAATAATTTATATATACATGGATATATATGTATATATAAATTTGCATATATATATATATACACACACACACACACACACACACACACACACACACATATACACACACATACATATATTTGCTTATTTTCTACAAATGGGATTCTCACCAGAAATATTGTCCCATACTTTGGTTTATTTAATAACAATGTTGGAGAGCTTTCATATCAGTATATAGAGCCACAATTCTGCTGCATATTTTTATTATTTAAGTATCTCACTATTATTTTTTTAAATATATTTTTATTGAGATCATGTTTTCCAGCACTCAGGACATAATAGTGCCATCAGAAATTATCAGACTTTATGGAGTTTCTGCAGGGTCTAAAAAGATTTTGAACTTGATCTTTGGTGCCTGTCAGCCCTTGCCATCTACTAATTAATAGTGAAGTCCCCTCGAGTGACTACGACCAGATTCCTTGCATCCTGCAGTGTCAAGGGCTTATTTTCATTTCAAGCTGCCCATTTTGTTCCTGTTTCATGACTGGAATGTTTCAGGCTCCTGCACATTTACAGAGAAGAAAAGATGAAACTAACTCACTTGAAGAAACTAAACTATTTCTTTATTTCTGCAGAGTTTCTTTATTTCAGCTGGCATCAGAATCATCTGGAAGGACTTGTTAAAATTCATTTTAACGGGCTTCATCTGATCTAGAGTTTCTGATTGAGTACGCCCAAGAATTTATGGTTCTAGGTGATGCTAACGATGCCAGTTTATGAGAACCATTGGTCTGGTAGTTCTCAAACCTAACATATCAGCAACAAAACCTTGGAGATTTTCTTTTTTTGGAATTTTCAGAATTTCAGGCCCTGCCCTTATCTACTGAATCAGTTACTTAATTGACTGATGCTTTAATGCTCAGTATACCATCAGGGTTCATTGGACCCATTTTTTATTTTTAAATTTACTTGAGAAGTTCTATTTGTAAGGTTTGATATTTCCATTACTTTTATTCCTTTTTAGGGGTCTTCCAAGAGAGAAAATTGAGTTATATTTTTTTCTAGAATAAAGCTTATTTGATTTTGAAATTACATATTGGTCTATTGGAGCCTTTTATAAATCTATAGTACATTATGGTATTTTAATGATCTTTTTTTCAATATTTCATAACATTTTGCTATTTCATTATATTAGCAATCATTTTACTATTACTTACCAATTATTCTCAACTATGCTAAAAAGAATGAAATAATTATGATGGAATCCTCTGGAGCAGAGGTCAAACAAACTGCAAATCTATAGGCCAAATTTGATCTGCTACCTATTTTTGTAAATTAAATTTTATTGTAGCATAGCCTTGACCATTGCTTTATACATATACTAGAGGCCCGGTGCACAAAAATTTGTGCACTCGGGGGTGACCACTTGCTGGCTTAGGCTTGCTCCCCAGGGGATTGGGCCTAAGCTGGCAATCAGACATCCCTCTGGCAGCCCAGCAGCCCTCGGGGGATGCCCACTTGCCAGCAGGGAGCAGACCTAAGCTGCAGTCAGACATCCTTAGCGCTGCTGAGGAGGCAGGAGAGGCTCCCACCACCACTGCTGTACTGGCAGCCATCAGCCTGGCTTGTGGCTGAGCAGAACTCCCCCCTGTGAGAGCGCCCTGACCACCAGAGGGCAGCTCCTGCATTGAGCGTCTGCCCCCTGGTGGTCAGTGTGTGTCATAGTGACCAGTCATTCCCAGTCCTTCTGCTGTTGGGGTCAGTTTGCATATTACCCTTTTACTATATAGGATAGAGGCCTGGTGCACGGGTGGGGGCCGGCTGGTGTGCCCTGAAGGTTGATCCGGATCAGGGTGGGGGTCCCGCTTGGGTGCCTGGCCAGCCTGGATGACGGGCTGATGGCTGTTTGCAGCTGGTCACACCCCCTTCAGGGTGGGGGTCCCCACTGGGGTGCCTGGCCAGTCGGTGAGGGGCTGAGGGCCGTTTTCAGGCTGGCAGGCGACTGAAGCTCCTAGCCTCTTTTTTTTTTCTTTTTTTTAATTCTGGGATTTATTTACCTTCTATAGCTGTCACTGGAGCTGAGAGCCAGCTCCAGCTCTGAGGCTGTGGCTGGCTGAAAGCAGGTATCTGGGTTTGTTTAGCTTCTATAATTGAAACTGTTGCCATCACTGGCGCTCTAAGTTCTGAGCCCGCTGGCTGGCTGAAAGCAGGTTTCTGGGTTTGTTTAGCTTCTATAATTGCAACATTGTTGTATCTGGAGCTCAGAGCTGGGCTGCAGCAGGTGGGGAACCTTGGCTTCCTCCATCACTGGAGCAAGCAAGCCTCATGTTCGCTTCAGCTGCCTGGCTGCCGGCTGCCATCTTTGTTGGCAGTTAATTTGCATATCCTACTGATTAGCCAATGGGAAGTGTAGCAGAGGTATGGTTAATTACCATGTTTGTCTATTATTAGATAGGATTATCTATGGCTGCCTTCACACTTCAGTAGCAGAGTTGAGTAGCTGTGACAGAGATCTTATGGCAAGCAAAGCTGAAAATATTTACTATCAGGCTCCTTTCAGGAAAATAGAGTATTTTCATCCAGTACATCACTTCAACAGAAGGGACTTCGGACAAAAACGGGAACCCTCCTTTTATGCTAAAAGAATGTATGACACTGTTTTTCATCTTTTATGATGTCTGTGCACCCTAATTTATTTGCTATTGCTTGTAAGTGAACAAATGCTAAAGGTAGATGATTGGAAAGAAATGAAAAAAGTCATTGGTTTGATCATTCAAATTGTTTATCAATCTAAAAGTGAAAATGTTTCGCAAATTATGGAGCAGAGAAGATGGTTGTACTCTTTATCAAAATGATAAGCCATGAAAAGGTTTTAAAAGTTCCTTTAAGCATTATATTTTGATAATGCAAATATAAAAATAAAACTAATGAGCTATAACAAATTAAAGATGTATCTGAAATCTGGAGTATTTATTTACAAGATTGTTATTTCCAGATTTAGGCATAAAATTAGTAAGCAATTATTTGCACTCAGGACATAATCCATTTCTAGTGTGTATGTCTTTAAAACCAGGGAAATTCAGAATAAAAACTTGCATATAATGTATTTATATCTTATTAAAATGCCTAAAAAAATTTTTTTGCTGTCTTTTTCTGTAAATTGTTAATCAAATGACTTTAAAAAAAGGGGGAATGGTACGTTGGATGCAGATTGTAGTGACAACTATTTTCCCTAGTATACTGAAGATTATAAGCTTCAGAAGAGAATACAGGTCTAACAAGATTTTCCATGAGTTATTTAAAGATATGGGATGAGTACAAGGCATTTCATTGTACTCTTCCCTCTGCTTTTGTATATATTTGAGATTGTCCATAATAAAAAGTTTTTTTAAAGGTTTCCATGTAAATCTGATGTTTTAATGTGATTGGAAACTGCAGGTGTTACTTTTTTTGGGGGGGGGAGGGGGGGAGTCAGTTTATTGATGTGCTGTAACCACCACAGACCAGAGGACTTGATTCAGAATCCGTCCAGAACCTGGGAACAGGCAGGAACACCATGACGACAGATGGCAGGACAAAACCGTGGTCAATCTGCAGGTGTTTCCTTCCATATTTCAGCACGTGATTTCTCCTGGTGTGGACGTAATTTACCGTGAACATGATTTAGTTAGTCTTCACTTGTTTATTATTATCACAGCTGTTATAAAAACTTAGAGTATTCTCTCATAAAACAGGAGGTACGCTTGTGAGATCAGGACTTTAGCTGTAGGCACAGCTTGCACGTGGCTGTCGCTGATGTGAAACCACTGCCCTTTGGTTGATTTCATTTCAAAATCTTAGGGGACATCCCCACGGAGAACAAGGTCAGACAGATGACTGTTTGCCATTCTCGCCTTGGTGTAGGCAGTGTAGTGCCCGGACCTCATGGTACCGCTGTGCTCCACAACTCCGTACAGGGAGTATAGCACCCTGGTGCTTTCTTCAGCCACATTCTTACATTTAGCAGTACAAAAAGGAGCCAAATCTAAGATCTCCGGAAATTTTATGTGTTTGTTAACTTTGCGTAGGTTAAAACCAGCCAGCTGAAATCGCTTCAAATGAAGGGTGAGAACAGGAAGAGCGAGAGCAATCAACATCTGCTTTTTGGCATTGGTGTAAACATGTTTCTTTTCACCTTTTAGGTTTGCCTTTGGTGCACCACACTGTCTCCGGGTGCACACTTCACACAGCAGCTTGTTGGCATCTTGAAGCTTCTCATTCTGGGTGAACTGGTATAAGCAGTGCTGGATGGAGCACTCGTCAGCACTGGACGCGTCCCTGTTCGCAAGGGTACAGAAGTTTCTGGATGTTGGCCCACACACTCGTACAGCGTGGTCCCGGGAGCGGGGCTGCCATTCAGAATCTCCAGACGTATGTCGTCAGGGTGAAGAGCAGCATCCAAGTGCAGGTTCCGGAAACCCCTAGAAATGTCCACTTCCCCACCGCCCCCCGCATCCAGGCAGGCACCGTTCAAACTCCCGGGACAGTCAGTGGGAGATGACAAAACCTCCACGTTGTTATCCACACTGACACTTTTCACATCTACGTCCTCTGTGAATTTTTGATTGTCAGTTACATTTTCTATCATTTTCTCTTGGCCATTCAAGTCATTCTGATTAATATAATATTCTTTATTTATAACTTCCTCTTGTGAGAAGTACAACTAGTACAACACATATATAAAAGTACTAATTCCACACTTAATTTGATAACAGTAGTCTTAGAGTAAGTAATTTCTTAAGAAAATTATTTCTACTTTCCTTATGTACTTATTTCAGGCTTGCCTCAAATAAAAGGTCATTTATTATACCCTATATTAAAGACTAGGGGAAGGGTTGGTTGCCTCCTGTACTCTCCCCCTCAGATTTCTATCCCTTAAATCTTTCAGGGGTTGTTACCAGTGAGAGGATGAGACCTCGGTTCTTGTCTTCTTGAAGGAAAGGTTTCAATCAAGAGACAAAGTGTAGAAAAGCAAGCAAGAATTTATTGACCACAGCAAAAATGTACTTAGGACAGAGAAACAAGGCAGGGCATTGAAGAGGTAACAGGAGAGCCTAGGCTGGGCTGACTTAGCTCACTGGAAAGTCAGAGAAAAGGGGGCCTTGGAGACAGGTTCAGAGGGTAACCTGGGAAGGAGCTGCCACTGCCCATTGCTCCTCTGGTTCCAAGCCTCATTGGGTCCTTTGGAGTTTAGGAGATATGTGGGGGAAGAGGAGGGGGAAAGGAATGGTATGAGTGTGCTCCCTGGAGGGAGAGCCCACATGACCTTTGTTTAGAGGAGTTTTAAATGCTGGGTGTTTAGGGGAGGATCAATAGAATATTCATCAGCTTTATGCAGATGTACCAAAATGAGATTTACTCTCTTAATTTGTCTGCCCTTGGGTATGGCTGGCAAATGGCACTAATTGGATTTCTGTTTTGTCTCCCAGAGTAGGGTGATTTGAGCTATTTACCCTCAGGTTGGGGAGAAGTGCAAACCATTTACTCTTACGTTTCCTTGGTTTAGGGAAGATAGGATTTAGTAGTGGCCACAAATTGTTTAACTATCTGTTACCCTATTCCACTTGTCCTGGAATGTTTGTTCCTAGCTTCTTACCATGCTATAACATATCCAGCAGATAGTAGGCACCAAGTAATAACAATTCCTATAATTTTTTTATTTTCCAAAGTAGCTTTTCTCGACTTTAATCTTGCAACCCAAAAAGTACTATCAGACACATTCTGGTTGACTAATAAAAAAAACAAGCAAGGTGAGTCTTCCTTTGACTGCAGAGGCCAAAGATCAGTTTAAGAAACTTCAGTTTTTACTATTACTTACCAGGCTGAGCATTTCTGAGGCTGTTGATTCTGTTTTGCTGTGAGACTGGCCACATGGCACAGTCCAGACCACTCAAGTGACTGCCTGAGTTGTCCCCCCGCAATGAAATCAGCTGTGCCAGGCGGGTGTCAGTTGTGGGAATCCTCACCAGCACACAGTTTAAAATGTGGAAGGTATTAATATTTAGCATGGACTTAAATACTTGCTCGTGTTGTTACTCTTGTTATTGCCCTCCCCGCCCCCAACCTAAGTCCAAATCTATTCCTACACCTCCTCTTCAGAAAGAAGGTAGAATATAAAAATCTCCTAACAAAGTATATATTGAAGATAAAATTAAATCCCTCATTATAGAGATTTTAGTCAGAGTGACTGCATCTGTGGTTGCCAGGATACAAGCTCAAATAAGCAGGTTTAGGGATTGGGCTGGGAAGCCTCTGGTGCTGTGAAGAAGTGTATCACAAAGTGGGAGCCTGGGTGTCGCAGCCCATCTGGGGCACACATGTTATTTACATCCCTAATCACATAAAAGGTGAAGAACAGCCCAAGATGGTTTGCCAACAAATAGGACCTTTTACCATGCAGTAGTTACAATGGCCAAAAATTAAAAACCAGTTAGAAAATAATAAACACATTTATAAAACTATTCTAAGTAAATCAGTTGATTTGAGGTCCTGACACAGAAAATCTAATTTTTCAGAATAAATCATTATACTAAGAATACTAATAAAATAAAAAAAGACTAGGAGAAAATATGTAAAAATTGGAAAGAGGACTAAATTTATGAAATGTGATACAAAAGCCAATGTGCATAAATGAAACAACACATTGTTATATATGATTAGTGCAATAAATTTGGCCAGTAGATAACCTTAACTGGAACGTGATTTTAACTAAATGAACTTAAGTTTTATTTTATTAATATCCCTGAAAAACAGGCTTACAGTAGAACATGGTTTGTAGGACAACCATAAAAGGAAAGCTCTAAGAACTCTGATGTGTGACTCCAATGCCACCCAGGGAAGATCAGGGGATATGAGTTCCAAAACCAGCTGATAGTATCAACACCACCTTCCTGGCTGGACTACTTCACTAGTAAAGATGAATAGTATGACAGCCAAACCCTATGAGTGATTAGATCAATTAACTCTCCAGAGGCATTGATACCATCCATGAGTCATCATGAACCTTTAAAAAAACAAGTATAAGGGAGAAAGGCTCTTCCTTTCTGTCTACCCCCAGCCATCAGGTAAGCCGAGATGGGTGCTTTTAAATACATCCAGGAGCTGTGGAGGAAGCAGTCCGATGTAATGCACGTCCTTCTTAGGGGTGTTGGGGGCAGTACCTCCAGATCTCTATGCTCCACAAGCCTGCCCCCTCCCCCCCCCCGCCCCCCGCCCCAGGCACTCTTCCTACCCTGGCCCTATAAAGTGCACAGGTTGGGGTACAAGGCCAAGCAGAGTTATGCCATATATCAGATTCATGTGCTCTATATGCTGGCCACAAATGGCCTGTTCCTAAGAGTGGTACCTAAGGCAAGACTGTTCATCAGTTGGTGTTAAGTAAACTTTGCTCCAAGCCTTCAGTCTGTTGTGGAGGAGTGAGCTGACCAACATTGTGGGACTCTGAAAGTCCTGAATTCTTACTGGGTTGGTGAAGATTCAATGTATAAACTTTTTGAGGTTATTCTCATTGATCCATTCCACAAGGCTATCAGGAAGAATTCTGACACCTATTGGATCACCAAACCAGTCCACAAGCACAGGGAGATGTGAGTGCTGACATCTGTAGGACGCAAGAGTCCTGGCCTTAGAAAGGGCCACAAGTTCCACCACATTATTGGTGGTTCTTGCCATGCAGCTTGGAGAAGGCTCAATACTCCACAGCTCCACCGTTACCACTAATGTAAGTAACGTTTGTAAAATTCTTATCTAATAAACAATTTGGGACAGTAAAAAAACACACACACACAAAAAAACTATAAACAGTGATTCCCATGTCATTAGCTAAGATTAGACAATGATCTTCCTATTTGCTGTCAAATATCTACTAAGCATACCTTGAAGCCATACTAGACTCAGCGTTCTCAACCTGTGGGTCGCGAACAATGAAAATACATCCTGCATATCAGATATTTACATTACGAATCATAACAGTAGCAAAATTATAGTTATGAAGTGGCAACGAAAATAATTTTATGGTTAGGGGTCACCACAACATGAGGAACTGTATTAAAGGGCCATGGCATTAGGAAGGTTGAGAACCACTGTAAGTGGAAAATCAAGCAGAGCAATGACAAAGTCCCATTATATTCCTTTTGATAGTGAACAAGCCATTCCTTCAGATGGCAAGTGCCATTCATTCTTTTCATAAATGTGAAATCTTGCCAACTTTTAAATACCAAGTTATTCATGTCTAGTCCACAACTACATCAAGAGCTGACATATCAATAAATGCTATGAAAACCTTCATATTCTTGGATGTTTTTTAAGAGATGAAACAGTGTAACAATATACACTGATAAAATGAGTTAATAAATACATGTTTTCTCATACAAGAAGTTAAGAAGAGTATAGACAAATTTTCATGAGACATGTAACAAACCAGTTAGTTTGGAATTTGAAGATAAAGGATTCCCATTCTGCAAAAATCAGGTAGACTATACTTTGTATCATAATGAGGGCACTGGCCTTGAAGAGATAAATAGTTTGCTAACATTGGGGGAGGAGGGTGACAAGTGGGATAGGATCTCAATCATTTGCCCCCCCAATTCACAGTGATTAATCAAATAAATTATAGCAAATAGAATAAATATGCCAGACAGGTAAAGTTCTGAACTCTTTAAAATCATTTGTGCAGAGAGAAATACAAGATAAATACCCCTTGAATTTTTCACTAGAAAAATGCATTACATTTTATAGACACTCAGGTCCGACACTTTCCTAGTTATAATTGAACTGTGCAGGTATGTCTAATGCTTTTTACATTTGTTTAAACCTAAATTTAAACAAATTCAAACTTAAATTTCTCCTGAGATCTGCTTAAGACGGTTATCTTTGCTAACTTTGTGAGGAAGTTATTTTTCCATGTTTGTAATTCCTGGGACGAGGTATAGGGAGACTTTTCCAGCACATAATTAGAAGACATTAAGTACTCTCTGGGACTTTGTCACATACAGTTGCGTTCAAAATGTATTCCTAGTGTGTATGACATATGTATATATGTATAGCCAAGGGGTATATGTACATATTTTATAATTGTCAAGTGACAAGTACATACCTAATAGCCCCGTGTCTACGTCATCTTCATTCTTCAAATTCTCAGCATGTAAGTCTGTAAATACAAAAATGGGCTTGGGTAAAAAAGATAATTTGAACAGTAGCTTAAAGTTTAAGCTGGGAAGACACTATGGAGTTGTGGAAAGTGCTGTAGTGTCAGAAGCAACTGGGTTCAAACTGACTCCACTTAGTAGCTATGTGACTTTCCACAGGCAGGTAAGAGGGCTATGAGTCAACTACCATATATGTAAAATGGGGATGTTTATCCCCTGGGGTGGTTGTGAAGGCATTTCATGTAATGCAAATAAATGAGGCACACTAGGTTTTAAATTCAGTTCCTTTCTCTACTCTCCGAAATATGCCCAGCTCAGTCTTCTGCAATGGACTTCCAGGTTTTGTGACTTTATGATAAAAAGGCAATCTCTCAGAGCAAAAGGGAGATAAAAGTACCTACAAGATAAACCTCAGAACTGCACTGAAAAAGAAGGGGGTAAGGAGAGTGATAGAGTAGTGATACGGCACACATATATTTAACATTGACAGTTTACAAACAATTATCATTGTATGAATAGGTAAAAATTGCCAATTTGTTTCCTTTGAACATGGTAAGCTGCTAGATGCCACTTGCAGCCCAGTAGCTTGGAAGTAATAAGGAAAAATAAAAACTGTAATTAAATGAATTTAATTCTATTTAGTGAACTAAAATTAATACTTGTGTTGGGTGTTTTTCATACATTAAAGGTAATGTTGCTTTAAATGATTTTTTCAGTAACTTTGCCAAAGTCACACAGGAGTGAAAACAGACTTAAACTCAGGTCTGAGTCTTTCCGCTGTAACCGCATTATACATCCGTATAGAGTTTGGAAAACTTTTCAGGGCACATCTCCTTCTATTCAAACCTGGCCAATATGTCAACGTCAGACGCAGGAAAGGAAAGCTATTACCCAGAGAAAGTGGACTAGCTCCCGCAACAGAACTTGATCGCTATAAAAGCGAGAGGGGCCGATTATTTTACCAATAAAAGTAGAAATCTGGGCTGCGGGGTCGAAATCCCCGTCCTTCAGGAATTCTGAGCGTGTACAGAGGACTCGGTGGACAGCACATCTTTAATCACTTGTAAATTATTAGTCTTTGAACACGTGTGGCCTATGTTACTTACACTTTTCACCGTCTTTTAATGGTTGTTAAAAGTGTTCACTGACTCTAAGATATTAACTCGAGGTCCTTTTTTAAAATGGACTCGGACCACCCACTTTCAAGAACAGTGCGGGAAAAGGGAGGGAGGCAAAGAAAGGCGCCGTCAACGGTTGTGGACGAAGCTGGCCGCCAACTGGACGGCCTGGCCTTTCCCGGGGAGACGGGCGGCGAAGGCGAGAGCCACGTCCAGGTTCAACTTCATTCTGGACACATTTGTCAAGGCCCAGCCTGCAGTACCTTTCACGATCTGGTAGGCGATGGCGAGAAGGCAAGCGAGGAGGACGGCAAACAGCAGCGCACAGAGAATTGAGAGGACCTGCACCGGCCACCGCCGCGCCCGGGCTGGGCCGCGCGCCTCCGCCGAGAAGAAGCCGTTGCGTTTGTCGGGCAGGACGGGAGAGCCGTCCTTTTCCGGCGGGAGCAGCGCGCCCTTTCTAGGCTCCGGCGACGCCCCCGCGGACAGTTCCGCCCGCAGGTCGCGGGCTACTTGGTCGTATCCCTCCTCGTCGTCGACTTCACCTTCACCCCAACTGTCCCCTTGAGTCAAGGCGGATAACCTCGGCCGAGCGAAAGGGACGGGGGTGCCGCGACGGCGGCGCTGCAAAGAGGCGCGCTTCGCGCTCTCCACGAACGACATGGCGGGAAAGACACCGAGCCGCGCAGAGG